TGTGTGGCCGCCCCTCCCCAGGGGGGAAAGCTAATGAACTTCCTGTGGGCACTGGTTCACTTGGTGGGTGCTCTGTGCTCACAGCAGGAGGACAGTCTACTTTTGTGGGAGTGGAGTGTGCCTTGCTTCGGCGGCCGGGGCATCTACCTTTTGCTGGAACGCTAAAAGCTCTCCAGTCCATATTGCTCAGTGGTATCTACCAACCCTGGATGTAACCGCTCAAGGGCAAGTGCGAAGTGGGAGCATCAACACCCACACATCCAGCTGGGCACCTGCTGAATGCCTGCTGCGTGCCTGTGCGCTCCATCCAATCCTGAGGCACAGGGCCCACCACACCCTCCTGGCCATCGGACATCCGAACGGCTAATAGCTCCACACACAAGGCAGTGTGTAGATTTTACCAAGTCTATACATGAACATATAAATCAAGCCAGACTTACAAGGAAAGACCAGAAGAATTTCAAGAAAATTCTAAAAGGTGACTGTACCATCCTCCCCACCCCATCTATGCTTGCCAACAGTGCGCACACACAGGCATGCACACACACACACACACACACAAAAAAAAACAGTTGTTGACTTGTAAGTACAAAAACATGCCGAATAAGAGAACACAACAAGTGTTTAATACGGGAAGCAACTGGCAACCCCAGTGGCTCAGCCAGCGCCCTCAGTTAGGGGAAGCTTGTGGGACTGCTGAGCAGGAAGTAAGCCTGGGCAAGTGCAGCCTGAGGGAAGAGGCGTCTGGTACTGCGACCAGCCTGGCGTTACGCTGATTTTGGTGTTATTGGGAAAAACGAAAAGGAAAAATTATTTCAGAACTAAGACATGTGATGGGAAGTCTTCAGAGGCGAGACTGGTAGAGAGAACCAGGAGGCAGGTCTGGCACCAGGCGGGGGAGGACCTGCAGGCGGCCAGGTGGAGATGGGGCGCAGGGCAACTTTAAGCTGGACCTGGTGATCCCCAACCGACAAGGAAGAAAACAGAGAAGCTGCTCATCCTGGCCTGGGATGACATGAAGCCATGAGGGCAGGGAGGGGGCACAGGAGATACATCCGGGACATGGGGGGGCAGAGTTGAGCCACCCCACCCTGCCTGTGGGCCACCTCCTTGCGGGGCTTCCAGGAGCCGCCCAGCACCTCCCTGATATCGACATCTTGGCAATGAGGAGGCTCCTCTGGGTGGCTGAGGGAACTCTCCACCTCTAGGGCAAAGCAAGACCAGGGCAGGCCAGGAGCATTGGAAGCTAGGTTTCCTGCTAGTGCCATGAGGCACCTCAAAGCACCCCTGTTCTTGGAGCGAATCGCTAACCTTCTGAGTCGGGCCACGTTCTAAGAGTCAGGATGCTGAGGCCAGTGTCATGGAGCTGCCTGCAATGGCTGCGTCTCACACGTGACACCTCTTAGGGCTGCTCCCCTTCCCACCCAGCTCCCTGCTAAAGACCTGGGAAAACAGCAGAGGATGGCCAGGTGCTGGGGCCCCCCCCGCACCGACATGGGAGACCAAGGTGAAGCTCCAGGCGCCTGGCTTCAGCCTGATCCAGTCCCCATTGCTATAATCAGAGAGTAAACCAGCTGGTGGAAGGTCTCTCTCTATTTCTTCTCTCTGTAACTGTGCCTTCCAAGTAAATACAATCAATCTACAAAGGAAAAGCCATAAGAGTGAGCCCTTGGGCCTCTCGGCCCAGGCCGTCATCCTTTGAGACATCATCATTTAAAAGAGATGAAGTGCTGTGAATTGCAAGGGATGGGCCGGAACGCCATGGGGCCCGAGCCCTGATTCACAAAGCAAGGGAGCTGCAGTGAGCAGTTCCCCTCACTGGCCTCACTCCGCAGGCTGCAGCTGGGACCTCCGGAAAGAACTTCCAGAAGTCCAGTACAGCTGCATTCTGTGGTTTTTAATTCCCCAGGAATCGCATCTCATCTTTTCGGAATTCAGAGCTTCTGCAGTGCTTCCTCTGACCTTGTTTATTCTAAGCAGACTCGACCAGCGCCACGAGCAGAGGCTGCAAAAGCCCCGTGACATTTCAAGGGAAGATTAAAAGAACATACACCGTGTTGGTCACGTGGGTTAACAGTACAGCTCCCGGTACCTGGGAACGACTTCCACAAGGAGCGGAGAGGGGGTGTGGCAGCAGGAGCTACAGCCGCCGGCATGTCTGGATCCCTGGACACACAGAATCTCGGATCCGGAAGCAGGAGATGTGGCTGGCACCACCAGGACCAGACGGAGGCTCTGGGCGGCTGGCCCTGCGATGCCTCACTAACAGCCGGGCGCTTGTTGCCAGGGCCTGCACGAAAAAGAGCCAGACATATTTTTCTGCTTCTCTTGGTAATGACCACACGCTAAACAGGCCACAGTTCCCAGGGAGAAAGGACCGCCAGGCAGGGGGCGCCCCCCTCGGCAGCCGCTTTCACTTTTAAAATGAATCAATTTCTGCATTGGCTCCGACGACGGGTTTACAGCTATTAGCCATCATATTAATAATTTAGAAAATACATGCCCCATCACTTGTGTTCCTCCAACTCCCCGTGAACACAGCTGCAACTCACACGGGAGCGTGCCTGAATGGGTAGTGTTCAGATGAGGTCTCTGGGTTGAGTTATTAGGGTAGCCTGTACTACAAAATTACTAATAAACATTGCTTCTGGCTCAATTTAGCCTGAACTCGGTGAACCTAGCCAATGGTGACAAATCAAAAACTCGGAAATGCCCGATGAATGAATCTAACTATTCTCAGAGCCCTGTAGGAAGGAGACGCCAGGATTAATGGGCCAGCAGCCACACCACGCCAGGCTGCTGACTCTTCACAAGGAGATTATGTTCATATCAGGAAAAGGAGAAAAGGAAGGTTACAGTCTGGGAACTGACCAGCTAACTACTGCCATTAGTAGAATACACCTCTTCCTGAGTTCAGTTTTCGAGTTATCTTAAAATGTTAAAGTTTGAACATTTATTGCAAATTGGACACACACTTTCACTCTCAGAGGGCCAGGCAGGCAACAGGGCTGAGACAGCAATCGCTGACGGTCCCCCAGCCCGGCTCCCCTGGGTGGCCTCTGGCTGTATCTGTCTGCCTGTCACCGGTTCCTTCCACCGCCACCAAGGCAGGGTAAACGCGCCTGCCCACCGTGGATAGTCGGCGTCATTGTGAAGCAGGGAACACAGATGCAAGAGTGAACCTACAGCCACACAGTCACATCTTCCAACCAGCACCCGCGACAGCCTCCAGCACCCAGCAGTCCAAGGGTCACCTTCCCTAAGGTGCGTCACTGACCCCACCCCTGGGAGTGTTGAGTCAGAATCACTACAATCAGTGAATAAAACCCTGGGCAAGCATTGCGCCGGGCTCATTTGTTTTCCCCTCCACCGAAAACCAGAACGGGGAGTCTCCCTCCGGCTTTTTCTCGCCACTGACACTTAGGGATGGCTGACTGTGTGTGTGGCTTTAATATGTCCAGGACCCCAAATACACAATCCACTGCCACAGAATCCCGTCCAGGAGGACCCTGCTACAGGATCACTGCATTGTGCAGAGCGCTCACCTAGGAGAGCAGCCCTCACCGTGGGGGACTGCAGCCTTCCATCAGGGTCGTCAGATGAAAGCTCCATTTCCTCTGCCTTTGAGACACACTGTTTTTAAAGGTTCCATTTAGCATCCTTTTATTACAATCCTACATCATAAAGTTATAGTTTATAGCAGGATAAAAACAGCTGTAAAATTAGCATTCTGTAAACACCCTTCCCTGCGCACTGGGGAGGCAGCCTGGGATCTGTGCTGACCGCTGGACACTGGGATCCTCGAGGCAGGATTGCAAACTTAAAAAAATAAAACCAGGACAGAAGGCCAGGGAGAACATGCTGATCCGTATAACCAAGTATTTTCCAGCGGCTGGCGCCACTCCCATTCTAGGATGAATTCCAAGAACATCTTAGTATTTTAATGTTCTATCAGAAATACTCTCCAGAGGATGGGAACCCGGGAAACCCTGCGGATCCGTTTCCCCACGCCCACTTTCTCCTACTTTCTGTCTCCCTGCACTGGGAGGCCTCCGTGGTCGGTCAGAGGCCCTCATGCCTTGCTCGCGCTGCCCACTGGACCTACAGGAAACAGTGCCCCGGGCGGGGGCGTCCGCACGACCACCACCTCATGCAGCACGCAGCCCCTTGAGGGACCCGAGGGCGCCGGGGGTCCGCTCCGTGGCGGTGCACCCCGAGGTGCGCGCGGGGCTCCGCTCCCTCCCGCCGCCAGCCGTGCGCCGCCGCCGCCGCCAAGCCGACTCCCTCGGGCTCCGGAGCTCCGGCCTGCCCCAAACGTCCATGGGGCCTGCGTGGAGCCGAGTGGACACGGGTTTTTATTTCCCGTTTACACAAACGCGAGGGGACAAGGCGAAGGCGAAGGCTGTTGTGTCAGCTCAAACATTTATTAAGAAAAGCAAATTCATAAAGAAGCACGGACAGAAGTCAGAACATACCACACACTGACCAGGATGTAACGAGAATGCGTTATCTACACAAAACATCCTATTCCACGAGTTCCTCTCGGGGAGCGCGCCCGCTCCCCGGGCGTGGGCTCAGCCGGCGCATGCGGAGGGGCCCGGGCGACCCGGCGGGCGGGCACGGGGCGGAGTGGGGCGGCCTCCCCGCACGCCGCCCGGCACGCTCCTCCCGAGTCGGCGCGGGCGCTCCCCCGCGCCCTGCACGGCCCGCGGGGCGGCGGGGGAGCTGCGGACCGGGCGGTCGCGAGGGATGGGGCTGGGGCCGGCGGGGAGCGGGCGCCCGGCCTCCTCGCGGACTCTGGCCCTGGGTGCGGCCCCGCTGGCGTCGGATTTCAGGTCCTGAGTCGACTCCCTGGGAAGGATGAGGGCGCGCGGGCGGGGAGCGTGCGGCACGGGCCGCGGGCCGGGCAGCGGCGGCGGGCAGGGGCGCAGGCGGCGGGGCCGGGGTGCGGGCCGGGCGGGGCGGGGGGCGGCAGGGGCCCGCGGGGCGGGGACGCAGGTGCATTAGGTAAAGCTCATGGAGACTGTGTGCTCGAGCGCCTTGCGGCGCAGGGAGGCGATGCTCGTGCCCCGCCACACATCGCTGCTGTCCGGGGAGCTGCAGAGCTGGGGCGAGCCCGAGACGTTGCTGGGGCCGGGGAGGGAGGCGGGCACCATGCCGGGGAAGGCAGGCTGGTACAGGTGGGACTGCAGCCCCGCGCCGTTGGAGCCCGCCAGGCTGTTGGACAACCCCATGGAGTTGGGCGGCGGTCCCGCCGCCAGGCTGCACTGGGACAGCGACTGCGCCATGGCCTGCTGGCGGCCGAGTGCGGGGGGCAGCGGCAGCTGCGACACACCGGGCATGGCAGCCGCCGCCCAGCGCGTGTCGTTGGCGTGGAAGGAGCACAGGCTGTCGCCCATGGCGGCCGCGGCGGCTGCGGCGGCCGAGGGGAACTGCGGCAGGCCCGGCGTGGGCAGCAGCGTGCCAGGCGCGCGGAACACGTTGGTTGTCTTCTTGCGCTTCTTCCACTTAGCGCGCCGGTTCTGGAACCAGACCTGCAGCGGGCAGGGGCGGGACACAAAAATACACGGGGCGCGGTCAGCAGGGCGCGCCGGACGCCAGCCATGCCCAGCACGCGTGTGGGCACCCACCACCACCGCCAGCACCAACGCCCAGGTGCCCGGCACGGGCGGCTCCCCGCCGCACATCACGACGAACCTGTGTGCCTCGCAGCGCTGCTCACGCAGCGTGGGCACTAACCCACGGTGCGCGCAGCTCCACCGGCTTCGAACCCTTGAGACAAAGGCAGAGCCCCCACCCCCAGCGCCGCCACCGGAGGAGGGACGCGGGCCCCCACAGGATGCCCAGTGGACGAGCGCGCTCTGGGTTCCTTTGTCGGGAGCGAGCAGGGCGCGGGAGTCTGAGCCTGCCACCCCTGGGCCTCCTTGTCTACTCCCCAGGAAGCACTGGACGAGGGTCCTGTCACGGGCCTCCTCGGTAAACTAAAAACCAATATCTTGACCAAAAGTTTAAGGCTCACACGTCTTACGAAACAAATGTGACTGCTTAGACCTACGCATGCGCATGTCTCAGGAAAATGGTTTGGATAAAATACACTACTCGTGGAAAAAAAATAATAAAACAAGCCCCCTGCTCGCTGAGCTGCGGTCCTGGGTCTGAAGACCCCTCATACGCAAGGTCTCGGGACTTGCAGCCTAAGGTGCCCGCAGCTGCCCGCGGGATGTCAGCTCGACCATTGCAGGGCGTGATGTGCCAGGGTCTTGCGAGTCTTTCCGAGTGGCGACACACTGGTCGGGCACAGCCTGAGAATTTTTGGCCATCCACTCGGTCTGACCATCATCCAGTGACTCAACACGTTTGTGGCTCCCACCCGCTCATGGCCATAGACAGACCTGCACACCTGCTGGACGGAGATGCGGGTCGCGCTCCGCAGCGCGTGCGTCCGCTCCGCAGCCAGGACTCCCCGCGCTGCCCTTCCCACCTTGCCAGTCCCCAGGTGTTTAACTTGCTTCCCACCCGGTGCCGCCCCAAGGCCCGCAGAGGTACCTCGGCTTTGTCCCTATTCTGCTGCAGCCTCTAGCTGGGAGCGCAGTGGACCCCAGCAGGGGGCTGGGTACTGGCAGCCTTCGCCCAGAGACCCCTAAGAGGAAAGGCAGCCCCTGCAGCTAGGTGGGCTGGACGAGGGCGCCCACCTCCCACGCCACACCTGGATGTTATTTCTAAATCTCTTTTTTAAAAACCCACAAATCTGGGCCAGTTTTGAACACCTGCGGTGGCTACCGACCCGTGCGCGGCTGGAGCTCAGGCACGGGCTGAAGGGAGCAGCTGTTGGGAACTCCGTATTAAAGGAATACTCGTGAAATCGCGCTCAATGTTTTAGGCTGGGCTGAGTGCATTTGTTTGTTTCATGGTTTACTGGAGCTGGGACTGAGGTGAGGGGAGGGAGTCAAAATCGGCCGGGTCTGCGCGCCTCCATGCCAAGCTCTGTTGCATGTTTTTAAAAATGCGAACCCTTCCACTTGAAAACTAGAGCATAAGGGAGACCTGAGGGAAATTTCCAGAAGGCGGATACAACTGCAGAGCCAGGGCAGCTTTGCTCCTGAGTGAGAAGCTAACGGAGGGCTGTGCCCCCCACACCCGCTCCGGTGGTGGGGTCCGCTGTGCCGGTAATAGAGATGTACTCTAAGTGCGCTTTAAAATCTACAAGCCGTTTGACGCCCCTGCTGGAAACGGCTCCGAAGCAGGAGCGGCTGCAGAGAGGGGTATTACTGTCCCCCCAGCCGTCCAAGCAAGCGCTTTATGAAGATCTCATTGGGATCCAGAACATGATTAATGTGGAGGTTTGGGCGGAAATCTGGGGAACTGTGTTAGCGCGTGGATCGCAGGTTCATTTCGACCAGCCAGCCGTGAACTCGGGGCCGAATTCATTACACTTTAATAGTGCTGGGAGAGGAAGAAAATGCAATTTCTCATTCCATTAGAAAACTAGAAAATACTCTCAGCTTGTCCCCTATTAAGATGTGGCAGGTGACAGGGCCGTTGGGGGGGACACGGTCACTGGGATTACAGCACATTATTTTTGTTCGTATAAAATATTGAAAGGCAAGCCCGACTGTGCAGAAGTTATTTCACTGATTTGGTTTTTATGTAAATAAAATATTGAAAGTTAATTAATCCGTGCTAGAGACTAATGATTATGCTTATTATATTGCGTTTGATCGCGTAATTTGCATGATTCTCGCATTGCTGCTTAATAAGCCATTCCAGGTTATAAATAATTCTGAAATTGGTTTCTAATAATGGCATGCTATAAAAGGAATGGTTTTATTACACTAGCCAGAAAAGGGAAGCGAAATCAGACATGGGACTGGCCTCCGTGTGAGCAGAGTGCTTTAATAAACACGGAGAACTGATCTATTCCCGTCCGCCAGCTAGCTTAGTCCAGACCTGAGTGGACGCGCAGCAGATGGACGGTTGGCAGCGCTCTCAGAGCAGTGCCCACACTGAGCAGAATGGCAATCTGTTAACTACAAAGAAACTATGAAGTACTCATCCTATACGAACATAAACCAATTACAATTTAATTTGAATTTGGTCAAGGAACAATGGTACAGTGAATTGGGAAGTAAATACATTTTCCATAAATTATTTTTGCATTATGTTACATAATGTTAATCATTTTGAAGTGTTAATTAAGAAGGCTATGTTGATCTGATTACTTTTTCAACTATGGAACATTATTTTTTAAAATACTGAAACTGCTATTCTATTAAATTGCTTCTCAGCAGCCTCAAGTCATTATCTTTGCTAGAACAGTTAAAGTACTTTGTCTTTCTTCCTGCATAGCCTTTTGTGTACTTTTTGAAGATAACTTTCTATTACATGGTTTATATTTTATTTCATTTACAACTTCTTCCATTAAAAGACTTTCCCTCATTAACCTTTTGGAGACCTACTAACGTTTACTAGACCTCGCTCCCTTTTTTCATAAAATCTGTTGTACAATTATTTGTGATTCATAAGTTCTATTTTAATTTAAACTAATTACCAATACATCTAAGTTAAGACGCAGAATTTTACTCCTTAAAACAAAAATTTAGAGATGGCATTCCTCTGGGGACCCAAAAAAGCAAATATATACATTTTAGAACTACAAGACTGAGCTTACAGCTGGTATTATAATTAGGGAAATGCTGAAATTCTACATTCTGTAAAGACTGGAACAAAATCCCATATTTCAATAGAGGTGGAGGGAAAATACGCTAAATCCCGCCTACACGTAACACGGGTGTTATAATACAGGATTGTATGTACTTAAATTTGTATTGCACTGAACAATTAGCAGTCTTTGCTGTGTCATTTCAGCGGCCTGTGCTTCATATCTTCCCAACAACCACCAGGCTTATCCTGAATTTATAAGTGTTAATCACGACGTTAGCCCCTGGGCATTATTTTATTAATTTGACCATTCCAACCCTCTGATGACTGCATTTACTCATGGACTCATGAGTTTTCCGTTTCGATTGCTACTAAAATGCCGAAAGGAAAAAGACGTGCCAGGCACTGGCATTAGGAACACCCTGAGACCGAGGGCCAAGGGCAGCGGAGAAGGCGGAGAACCGCCAGCGCGCCAGGAGGCCGAGGAGCGTTCAGCACCCTGGACAGCTCTCGACCGCGCCGGCCACTCCCCCGGAGCAGACCAGGGGTCCTGGGCTTTCCGAGGGGTCACCCGCACAAGTCCTGGGTTCTTTTCCTCGCACAACGTGGAGGGCCGAGAAGCTACGAAACTGCACCTCGCCTAACCCGTTTCTTTAGGGAAATCTTCATTTAACACTGACAGGTAAACGGCAGGCTGGCTCCCATAGGCCGCGCCCTGCGCCTCTTGCGGCACGAGCGTCAGCGAGCAGAAGAAAGCCAGGAAAAGGTGCCCACTGCCGCAGCCTTGTCTCCCTTCTGCCCAACACTGAACACAAACTCCTCAGGCTGAGGGAGTGCTTGTCAGCGGGCTAAGGCCGAGGAGCTCCGGGGAGCACTCGGCAGGAACCGGAGGCAGAGAAGTGGGCAACGGGACGACCCGTGCGGGCCAGGAGGTCGCAGGCGGGGATGCCGTGATCCCAGCCCGGCTCAGCCCTCACGCCCCTCGCGCCCCTCGCGCCCCACGCCCTGCGCACCTGCACTCTGGACTCGGTCAGCCCGATACGCAGCGCCAGCTCCTCCCGCATGAAGATGTCTGGGTAGTGCGTTTTGGCAAAGCTCCTCTCCAGCTCGTTGAGCTGCGCAGGGGTGAAGCGTGTCCGGTGTCGCTTCTGCTTCTGCTGGCCCTGCTGCTGGCCGGCTTGGCTGGGGTTCGGGCCGCCCTGGGGCCCCGGCTGCTTGTCCGGGTCTTTGGCGCTCACGGCCAGTGAGGCCGGGGCAGAGCCCACCGTGCCTATGTCCTCCCCGGGCAGTAGGGTGGCTCCCTCGACCGGGTCAGAGCTGGGCGCCAGGTCTCCCGGGTGGCCCCCGGGGTCGGAGCCCCCCACGCCCAGCCTGCACTTCACCGCCTCCCGGTGGCCCAGCAGCTCGGCGGCATCTTTCATACCTGCGGAGGCAAGCGGAGGGTGGTCACCACTTTCCTGGCGGTGCGGGGGGTCGGGCTTGCGTCGGCCGGGTCCTGGGACCCCTCCGCGTCCACTGTGCTGGGCCCGCGGCCGCTGGGCTGAGACAGCAGGCGGGCGGGACGCGCGGCCCTGGGCACCCTGGTGCGCAGCGATTCCCCCACGCTACCCGCTAAAGCGCTGCTCACTCTTCACTCGCGGTAAAGAAACAACCCACCGGAGCCCAACAATAAAGCCTGTCTCCCCTGCGCCCAGGTGTGTGGACCCAGAGCGGGGAGGGAAGTCTGAAAAGCAAACCTCTGCCGGGCCGCGGCCGCACCTGCGGAGGCTCGGCCCGCTCGTGGCTGGAGAGGAATAAAGCTCCGGTTCTCCCACCCCCGAAGTCAACCCAAAGCAGCGCCACCTCCCCCTCAAATCACAGAAAGTGTTTGGGAAATGGCTTCTCATCCATCAGGGAAGGTTCCCCAGTCAGAAACCCTGCAGCCGGCGACCCACAAGCAGCAGAGGGGAAAGGGCTGGGACACAACCGGCAACCGGACTGCAGAGAATCCGGCTTTTCCTTCCACAGGGACCCAGGTGCGTCGGTCCCTCCCCGCCATGGGCGACCCCAGGCCCTCGCAGAGGCCGGGAAGCCCCGCTCAGCAGGTGCACTCCGGAGCAGGTGCTAGCGGGCTGGGGCTTCTCCTCGGAGCTGGGTTCTTGTTTTCAAACAAAATCAGTCAGATTTTGGAGGAGGTAGAGGAGGGGGGAGAGGGGTGGTGAGAAAGAGGAAAAGGGGAGAGAGGGGGAAATGAACCCCAATGCTAGCCAACGGGAAAGAGACCGAGAAACACTTCCAAACAAATTACTCCGCGGCAGATCGACTTTCAAAAAAATAAATAAATAAACCAAGGGGAGGGGGAAGACGAAAAACAAGAAAAACAAGGAAGAACAGTGCGCCTAGCCCTTTCTTTGGATCTACATATTCCATAGATTTTTTTCAAAAGACGATGTTAAATCAAATTAAACTTTAATGCAGCACAATTACTTTTAAAGAAATTAGTCCATTTAGGGCGCATTAAGGTAAAATAAGGAACAAATTGACAATTTCCTGCGCCGGCTTCTGCTGGCCGTCCGGGCGAGGCGCGCACTCACCTAGCCTGGCATCCAGAAGGTCGGCGTGAGAAAGCATCGCGCACCGCTCCAGGGCGAAAGCTGTTCCCCCCCAAATTTTAGCGGCTTTAAGTTATTTAAAATAGATATAAGCTATAAGCTATACGATATAGATATATATAGATCACCTAAATGAAAGAAAATTCGGTTTGTGGTTAAAAAGGGGGCTTCTTGCATTATAATGTCCTTTAGAGAGACGGGGAGGTGCTTAACAGTTGAATGAACCCGTGAGCAGCTTGGCGAGGGGACCAATCAGGACGGCAGCCTGCAAATGTCAGCGCCCGCCGCGGCCCCCGCTCCGCCCGCCCGGAGGAGGAGGAGGAGGAGGAGGCGGCCGCAGCCCTCGCAGCTCCAGCCCCGAGCTGCGGCTTGGGTAGCAGTGGCCGCCACGGCCAGGCCCAGGGCTGCGGCTCCAGACCTTGGCCAGAGATGCGCCCCTGTCAGGTGGTACAGGCCCGGCTTCCCTGCCCCGCACCTTGCCCTGCCCCACCCCGAGGGCGCGACTCAGCCACTGGGCGGGGAGGGTCCTTCCTGGGGCGGAGACAGGGCCAAGACCAAAGCCGGGTGTCCTCCTTGCGGGTGATGCCGGGCCCAGCAGGGTGCCCTGGGCGCTCCCAGGCCTCCAGATCCTCCCTGCTGGCCTGAGGCAGCTCAGCAAGCCTGCGCCCGGCAGGGGTGGGGCCGCTTGTGGCCAGCCTCCAGGCGCTCCGGGTCCGTCTTGGGCCCACTGAGCCCCAGGCACGCTGCGCCCGTCCCGCGGGTTCCCTCTCGGGTCCGTTCCTTGGCGCACCTCACGCTGGTATATCCCGGCCTCCCTAGCCAGCTGCTCACTTGGCCAAAGTTTCTAAGTTCAGTTCGGCTCCCCACTGCACGCCGGGTTGTAAATAAAGTTCAATGCTCCGTATTTTCCTCCTGAATATGTTAAACTACTTGAACAATTTAAGAGTGCTTTGCACAAGTGAAGCGAACCGTCGCTAACGCTCTGATTTTTCAGAGCCAGCCAACAACAAAGTTTAGATTAGTAATATATTTCTAACCAGAGTAATTTTCAAGATCATTAGGCATTTATGTAATTAGTGCCAAATCTATAAGCTTTTATTACGATTATTAGAGTAAAATCAGTATAAATTTGTACTAATTTACTACTGTTTAGACTTGGCTGTCAGACCCGGCGTTCTTATTGTAAATGATAACGGAGGGAATTAAGTGCAGAATCCGGTGCCATTTCTGACCTCCTCCTAGACAACCCGCTTCAATCGCGTTTGCAGCGCGGGCCTAAGGCCCCTCCCTCAAAGTTATTTGACTGGGATTTTTTATTTGCGACGCAAGAAAAATGCCCTCCACGCAGGCACAATGAAAACTGGTATTTACCACTCCCGACTTGATTAACATTGATTTTTAATTCGAGAGTGATGCGATTAAGATTATTCATTTAGTGCAAATGAAGCTTCCACAAAAGGGTGGCCCTCTCAAGTCGCTTTTAAATAATACCGAGCAAATGGCTTTTTTTGTTCGCCGTCCAATTGACTTACACAAAACATTGGAAACGCAGCCTGAGAGCAGATGCGAGGGGAGTCGTGTGCGCGTGTGTCAGGGAGACAGGGACGGAGCGCGCAGACAAAGGAGCTGGCCGAACTCGGGGGCAGTTTCGCCCCCTCCCCACGGGCGCATACATGTGCGCGCGTGCACACACACGTGCGGGCGCCGGGCGTCGGCCCCGGCCCGCGCCAGCTGCAGACTCTGCTTCCCGTCAGCCCCGGGTCTGGCAGGGCTGCCTCGACCGCCGCGGCCTGTGCGGCTCCGGGCTCCAGCCCCACGGCTCCCGCCTTGGCCAGAGCCTGGGTGGCAGGGCGCGTCTGGGAGCGGCGAGTTGGTTGACCCAACGCCGGTTCCCGAGGCGGAAGGCTTGACCTGGGGGAATTTGGAGGCCTCGAGCAGCCTGTGCCTGTTCGGTGACGGCTCTCTGCGCCTGCATCGCCCCCAAAGCACCAACCCAAGGAGTGGGGCAGTCGGGCCAGGCGGGGCGTGCCTGTGGCAGTCCCTGTCCGGGGAGCCAGCAAGCGGGCAGGCGGGCACTGTACCCAGGGCCGAGACCAGAGTCGGGTGAGGAGACCTGCGTGCCTCCTGCACCCCGGGGATGGCCAGATCCGGCGGGCTGGGCTGCCGCCGAGGGGCCTGCGCTACCATAAGAGGTCACGACCAGGTACGAGGTGGGGCAGGGTGCAGGCCATGGTCCACGTGCGTGCTTGCCAGCCTGGCTTGTGGGCCGCAGCAGCCCCGGGGCGCGTGCGCGCTCCCGGACCTGCTTTGTTGTGCGTTTCAGGTCGATAAATAAATGTGTACTAGTTAATGCGAAGACACATCAGAGTCATGACAATGGGACGCACCCGCGGATTATCCATCTCTGTTAGCGCTGCCAGGGAGCCGCGTCGCGGCGTGATTGATGGCGCGCTTCGTTTTATGACTTTTCTATTGGTCTTGATTTTTATAGCAGTATAAACAAACTAAATCATTTCTTCCAAGACTTCAGGGCCCCCGACGTCTCCGCGAGCGGAGGGGGGACAGGGAGACGGAAAGGGAAGGGGAAGTGTGCGTGCGTGGGCGGGATGCGGTGGGTGCGGGCAGGGCCGCGGTCGGGGCAGCCTGGGAAGTGCCGGTCAGGCCCATTGCTGCGGGTAATTGGCGGCATTTCCCACCTGATCGCCGCAGCCGCGTCCCTAACAAGGCGAGGCTTCAGCGCTGGCCCCAAATCTTCGCGATGACAAGAATGTCTTCAGAAATCACCTCCAAGCAAAGTAAAAGGATTTTCTATGACGGATCCAGTGATTTTTCCTCAATAAATAGGTTTTAGATTGTTACACACACGTAGAAGTGGAACAAAGGGAACGACCAGAAAATATATTGGTTGCCCCTAATAAAATTTATTTAGACAGTTTACTTCTCATAAAAAATAGAGATTGAATTTTGTGCAAGAGCCTGCCAAGGGGCTATGCACAGGGAAATCATTTCTTTCTTTTTTTTTCTTCCCTTCCTCTCTCCTCTTCCCTCCTTCTCCTTTTTAACCAAGCACAAAGAGCGTGGCAGGGCCGGACCGCATGGCACGCCCCGCCAGGGAGCTCCGCCCGCCGCGCCCACCGCCCACCGACCTCGGCCTCGGGTCTGAAAAACAAAACACACAGTCCAGGTGGTCGATTCTGGAATGGGTGGAGCGACCAGGCCCGATGCCCTCCCTCGGGTGCCGCGCCCCTGGCGGGGTGCTCCGGCCACAGCGGGGGGCCTCCCACGAGCTAGGGGGGTCCTGGTTCTCACTGCTGCGGCGCTGCGCTCCCCGCGGGGACCAAACCGAGACCAGGAGCCCAGCGCAGCCTGGGCCGCAGGACCCGGCCCGCCGCAGCCCTCCATTGGGGCGAAAGAACGCAGGCCGTTCCTGTCCCCGCAACCCCACGCAACCCCACACTGCATCGGAACCGTGGTTCTCCCCGCCCCCGCAACTGCCAACGACCTCACTTTTTCGTATTTTCATGCCTGATGAAAAGAATCAATTTTAATTTGTGGTAGATTACAGCCACGCTTTTGGGCATTATTTGCTTACAGAGAACCGATCAGGCGCCTTGCTCGCTGTCGTTTATTTTCCCAGATACGCAGTAACCCACGCAGTGCGGGCCGCGTCCTCTTCCTCGGGCCCACCTCGGCGCGGGACAAAGGGGATGAGTGGGCATCAGTGCGGGAAGGGGCCAGGGCTCCGTTCACTGCCCGCCCCGCAGCTGCGAGGCCTGGAAGCGGGATGTGCCGCTGGTGGTGGGGCGATCTGCGAGTCCCAGGAAGTTCCCAGTACAGGAACTACAGCTGCGAGATGGGGGGGTTCGGCTGAGACCCCTCCCCGATCGCTGCGAAGGTGCCCTCGGCCCCTCCAGGCCTCACCACCCGGAGCGCAGGGACTCCAGGCCGCCTCCCAACCCGGAGCCAGAGGCGGAGAACGCTGCCTAGGGACCAGGCCTCCGAGCCAGACAGGAGCCCCGGCTGCAGGCGTCTGTGGATTCCAGGCGCGGAGCGGGCCGGGTGCGCTGGGCACCCGAGCTGGTGGGCAGTGCGCGCCCGGCCCGCTCCCCTCGCGGCCGCAGCCACCGCGCACGCCTGCTGCACCGTGCCACAGCCCCGCGGCCCACTGGTGAGGCTGTGCGTGCGCGGGGCCCCGGCCGCCGCCTCCGGTCTTCTGACCACGGCGGCCCGCTCCCCTCGCGGCCGCAGCCCGCACACGATGCCAGGCGTCCCGCTGGCCACCACGCGTCCCGCTGGCGTTTTGCCCTTTATCCCGCCATTTCAAGGGCCTCAATTAGCCGCCCGGAACACCCCGAGCGACACGGAGGTGTTGTTCACGTGCGTCAAGTTCGTAGCTTTTCTGATTTCTATTTACTCAGGGTAAATAATCATAGATCAGTTATCCAGTTAGGTGACAAGGCTAGTAATTGGAATAAAAAGAAAAACATCTCGCCCTTATCTCTGCCTAGAACTAGATAGAGCGCTAATAAGACTGCATCAATCTTATCTAGCAAATAAATAAAATAGACAAACAAACAAATTCCCCTCCAACAAGTTAATGTGGTGTATCTGAGTGGAAAGTAGATATTTTCACGCATTCTGGAGATGAGGAGTGACTTTTAATAAAATCACAAGAAAAACAAATGTAATTCCGCAAGCTGGCTCCTCGCAGCGGCAGGCCGGAGGGTCTCCGGGCGCGGAATCCCAGCTGGGGGCTCCCTGGAGCTGCGCAGGCCGCGAGGGTCTCCCTGGCCCGCCTCACCTCTCCTCCTCTCCCTCTCCCTGCGCCCCTCTCTCCTCTCACCTCCCTCACTTCTCCATTTCGCCCTCATCCTCCCTCCTAGCGCTCCAGTCCCTTCTCTCCCGCACCGTCCTGCTCCTGTCCCCCCTCCTGGGCCCCTGCTCCCCACTCCTGTCCCTCCCTGTCCCTCCACCTGCTCCCATCTACCCCTGCCCCCTCCCCGGTCCCTGTCCCCCTCCCCGGCCCCTGCTCCCCACTCCTGTCCCTCCCTGTCCCTCCACCTGCTCCCATCTACCCCTGCCCCCTCCCCGGTCCCTGTTCCCCCTCCCCTGCCCCTGTCCCCCCTCCCCATCTCCCCCTGTCCCCCTCACCGGCCCCTGTT